TATTTTTAACAGTATTTGACTGTAAAATTACATTAAATGTAATTACATTTATTCACCGAATATAGTATGGAAACTTACTGTTAACCAGTTTTTACTGTAGCATTTTTACAGTCTTTTACTGTTAAAATCACAATCATTTTTTGCAGTGTACATAATGTAGGTAAATTTAAAGGAGGTTTAGTGTTATTATAAAGGCATTTAGCTTATTAAACCTGACATAACATGAAGATAAATGACATATTATACCCTCATAGGACTGAGTAATATTCATGCTTAAGAGACAAAAATGACGATGTGTGTGCTATTTTGCATTATTCCAACAACAGGTGATACGGATCAAATTTTTCACACATTATTGACTCCCACAAGCCTAGATGGCGTAACTAACCAATGATGCACAGGCCTTCTTGTGCCCTGGTAATGCCCACGTTCACTTGGTGTGGGTCCATGACGAATCCAAGTCGGTTTATAATCCAGGATTTGGTTGGTTGTGCTTCTATGTCAGATTTGGGACAAGAGCGCACAGTTGACATGATGACATATTTCCATTCGCTTCCTGTGGCCAACAAACAAAGGAGAAAAGATCAGAAATAATCAATTCAGAAACAATATCTACATGCCTTTGTCAAATCATACAATCATAAACACAACTTAAGTATGAATGCCTTGTATTTGTGCCTTAAAAACCATTTAAACGATAAAAAAATCATTTTTAAAAGAGAGCTAAATAATGGTTGATTGTAATGTTCTGTCATGGGTCAAGGTTCAGTGTTAAAAGTTTTAGTAAGATTTAAACAAGGTCATGCTTATCGATGTTTAGTGTGCCACTATTGTAAAATGTCATGTTAAAATTGTCATTACCTTGACTTTTCATGATGGTGTTGATTGTGATGTCTCTTATACCCTTATCAATCAGGGACTCCCTAATGTTTGACACTTGAGCATTATATGGTGTGAGAATGGCGATGTCCTTTGTCTTTATTCCAGCCTCAGTCAAAAGAATGGCGATACGCACCTGTTGGAAGATCATCACAATTTGAATATATAATTTTATAATATATCCTTAGGTGGCATTTTGAATTTAGAACAATAAATTGTTTGTGGCAAAAATGGGCGGGGCTTCGACATTTAAATAATTTCTTTCTTTATATTTTTTATTTTCTGTACCTAAGACTTTGATGCATCTTCATTAGCTATTACTAACTCGCGTTGTTATGAAAATATACATAGTGGAGTAGCCTCTGAGACAGAAAGTAGTAGAAGCGATATGTTAAATATAGAAAAAATAGTTCTACAGTCGGGTCAGTGGATGTTTAAGGCTTAGTCCAGATCTCCACAAATATGGAGCCATTCTTTGATTAAATATCAGATACTGTATGCTGCGTGCGCTATGTAGAAGTTCAGATATCTTAGTTTTATAATCTTAGATAATAGTTCCTTCTCTTACTTTATAAACAAACAAACAAACATAAACTACTGTACAAGCAGCAACCTTCAAAATGAAACAACCCGCAAATAAATTCTCTCGTGTGAAACTTAAAAGGCTATAAAGTTTAATTTAAAGTATAGCCCAAAATCTTTTTTTAATCTACTAAATTACACTTCTCTTACCGCTTCTTCTGCCTCCTCCAAATTTGCTTTTGAATTTTCATTTCCCCGTTCAGTCGAGACCACCAGACTTTTCTCCTTTCCTTCAACATGGCCGAAAACTATGCATGTTAGCCTTGACTTAGTAAAGAAGAGCCTTGGTTTGGGGGATGTTTTAGTTTTTAACTTTCCGTCATAAAACTCCTTAGAAGGAAATTCACAAATGTCCTCTTGCTGTAAGAGACAAGATGTGCAATGGAGAAATTTTTATTTGAATTAATTGCTTTTTAATTGTTTAGATCATTGTTAAATATCACTAGATAAAAAAAATATACTATTCATGAATAAAAACTATAAGGGAAACAGAAGTTTATCTTTCGAAAGCAAACAACAGCATCAGACAGAAATGTTTTATTATACAGTATTAGAGCTATTTATTTTATTATTTAAATAGCTATTTGATTTATTACCATTCTGTACTGAGTGTCAAGCAAGAGTGCTTTCTCCATGTAACGTTCGAAAAGAGATTTGCTCATTCCCAATCGCTCCACCACATCACAATGGACTACAGGTTGCAGCTGCTTATGATCGCCCAGAAGAACAATCTACAACATGAAATTAGTAGGATATTAAGAACCTAAAAGATGTTTGTTCAATGCAAACGTAACGCTAATATCCAAATCAGTGTTTGTCTAAAAAGAACATTGCTTTGGAGCCATACCTGCTCAGGCTTGTGAGCCACTAGTGGAATAAAGGCTTCAGGTTCAGTTGCCATGGCACATTCATCGATGATGATCTGCTTGAAGTCGAGGACTTTAGCTAAGGCTGGGTGTGAGGCTGCTGTGCAAGTGCACAAGATGACATCATGCTGCAATAATTCATGTTTTCGAGCCTTTTGGAGGGTGTCTTTGTAGCTATAAAAAAAGTTTTACATTAAATTAGCTTTTCATTTCTATGAAATTGTGTCCAAACTATTTCTAACAAACAAGAAACAATAACATAGAATCAAAAAGAGATTTGTAGTTACTGAGCTATACATACAGTTTTTTTTCTTCGCCAGTAAATTGATCTCCTCTTCTAATTTTCATATCAAAAGCTAATATTTGTGTGGAATATGGGTTGCCATCCTTTCGAATCAGGTGGTGTAGTGCAATGGAACTAATAATACAACAACAACACACATCTGTTAGTGGAAAGCCAGGTTTAGATGTATAAACACATGCATTTTACATTGGCACTTAGTATCTACACTCAGATAAGTGACAGATGGACAGTATTTGGCAAATACCTGAGCTCTGTGTTGGGTTTTTCGCCTCTTTTAGAATTGCGTGACAGCTTCAGATTGCATCCTGGGTAAGGAAATTCCAACATCTCCGTCTGATCACTGTAGACTCTGAGAGGTCTAAGTTGATTTTTAAGTTTTAGGAGATGACCTGCAACACATTCATATAGACAGTTTACGTTGCAGTAATCCTTGTTCAGGTAATAAATTGTGTAACTCCTTCTTCACTAGAGGGACCGAACTGACAAAATGGATAATAATTGGCTGTACAGAAAATTTACCTGCAACAACATCAACAGATTTATTTGAGGGGCCACAGTACAGAACAGCCCCCTTCTTCTCTGAATTGGTGGCAGGATGCTGTTGGGTATTCTTGAGCAACCAGTACACAATATGGACACCAACAACAGTTTTTCCAGTCCCTGTGAAAATACACAACAATAATATAATAGGGAAGGAATGGCAATTACAATAGCCTAGGGCCAAAGAAAGTCAGAAAATACTTCTCACCTGGTGGTCCTTGGATAAGAGTGAACGGGTTGGTCAGTGCTTCTCTTATAGCTTTGCACTGACTGTTGTTTAGATGGGAAAACCCAGATGGGAGATAACCGTCAATCTCAAATCTGGCTGTCGTCTGCCTTGAAATGTTGCATCCTTTGAGGAAATACAGTGTTAAATAAAGTAAAACTGCATTTGAAGGGATAATTTTTAAAAAGATGGCTAGTAAATCATTAGTTTTGATAGCAGAGCTTGACATATAGATATGCAAAACATTATAATGAGGCAGTAAAAGTCAAACTGTTGTACCTCCTTCAGAGTTGATTTTCCTGCCCATGGCAATATATTTTACGAGTTTGTTGGCTTTGGTTAGACTGTTAATTGCGTCCTCTTTGCGCCTGCAAATAAAATGTAAAAAGCATAACAATTAATGAAGCATACATATATTGTTTGAAGATGTAGGATACACATAAAACAATACAGTGTACACAAATAGAACATTTTTAATAAGCTATAGTGTCTATCATTTGTAGTCTTACACATCTGGCAGAAGCTTTGGAATCAGCTCCAGAGTAAATCTTGTCCTCTCGCAGAATATGGCTTCTGGAATATTTGTCATAGGCATGTGGTTAATCTGAAAATCAATTTGTAAAATCTTTGGTTCTTTGGAGTCAGTTTCTTCAACTTCCGTAATTATGGCATGGGCCATCCAAGTGATAGAAGGAATATCCATGAGAGCTGTGCACTGAGAGTTTTCCAGAAAGGGACTACTCTGACTTTGGTGAATCTTAGTTCGAATGCAGAGGAAACTGTTCCTAAGGTCACATTCAATAGACCATTGAGATTTTTTGTCAAGCGGAAGGAGAAAAAAACCCTCGTGCGTCTTTTGAGGAGAGGTTTTCCATTTCAAGACTGCATCTTCAATAATAATACTCTCATTTTCAGACACAGCATTGGAGGCTGACTCCATTTCACTCAAAGGTTTCCATATTGCCTGATAATCCATGTACGAGTTGTATGTATTCCTTGATGAGTGGAATGCATATTTTGAAAAACACTTGATTGAATCTTTCACATGCTCCAAACAAATCTCAAATTTTGGATGCACAACAAACAGCTGAATTGCTGGTGTCATTAATCCTCGAGCTGTGGTTGTACCTAGCTGCACCTCGACTGCCTCACCTTGCTTTATTCTCAGCGACAGTTCGGCATAATGCTCAGCATGCATGGGATCAAATTTGTCTGAACTTTTAGCATTTCTCAGTCTTTCCTGGAATTGTCTTGCATGGACTCTTGAGCTGACGTCAAGCTTCTCAATCAGGGGAAACAATATGTCCCAATTTTCCTCTCTAAGAGCAGCTGCTAGGCATTTCCAGGTCTTTGTAGAGACATAGGCCATGACTGAGTTTGGATTTTGTTGTTTCACTTCAGCAAGGATGTGAGGATTGGAAAATGAATATATCCTTCGCACCCATTTCAAGATCATGCAGTTGTTTGCTTCATCAAACTCTGGTTGATCTGCCAACTGAAGATCCCTGTACATAACGTCTAAGTTTTCTGATATAGAGGTTCTGTTAAGTGGGAAGGATAATCTGAAGTTTGTCCCTGACGGATTGAGTTCCACAATGTATGCCACCTTCTTTTCGCTTTGGGTTGAGAGCTTTAATGCAAAATGTAGAGCATTCGCTTTCCTCTCATATGCTGACTGTTGGTCATTTTTCCTGGAAAATTCTATACAAGACAGGTCAATGTCATGAGCTGTGTACCTAACATTGGTCTTGTCAATCACAGAATGAAGAAGGCGCTGCACAATAACATCTATATATCGGCGGACTGGAGATGAGGCCCAAGTATAGCTGTCAAGGTCTAAATCATAGTGCCCAGTTCTTGAGACATGTGTCGAGTTTGATCTCAGAATACATGCCTTGTGACACAGTCTCCTAAATGCAGTAGCAAAAGGAAGAAGTTGGGGGTGAATCTCATCAGTTGAAATGAAGTCAATTATTTTGTAGATATTTTTCTGCTCTGCTGCTGTCTTC